ACCAGCATGGGGAGCACCCCTTCCTCCACCCTGCATCCAGCAGCACTGGTGAAGAAATTGTTCCTCACAAAGTCCAGTGCTGAGCCAGTGTTGAGTGCCGTACCACCCATGAGCTTCATTCTCTTCACGTTAGCCATCACATCCTTTCTGGTCTGGTGGGTGTTAAAGTAAAACTCTGGCTTCACAGTGTCTGCATACTGTGCCACCGCAACTTGGATCAGGTCGGGTCCAACCTCCAGCCTTTGGACAATTTTGGCAACGAAATCACGAATTGAATTAAAGGGGCCAGACCCCAAAGCAGTTGAGCCATCTATCAGGAAGACTATATCCTTCTTGTTCACTTCAATAACTGCAAGCAACACATGAACATAATGTTAGTGGAAGCCTTCACCGCACTCTGCACATCAAGTCTACGTCAACAGTTCAGCAACATTTTTAGGGCTTCTTGTTTGCTTGAAGTACTGTTACTCTCAACATCTTTAAAAGGGTCTTGCTTTCAGAACAGAATTATTTTTTAGGTTCTAGCAGAGAGCTAGTAAGAAATCTGATTCAACGTTTCCCCTTTGTAAACCACAGAAGAGTTGAAGAGTTGCAAGAATTGCATCATTTATAAATCTTAATATAGAATTAACATGTCAAAACAAGAAAAAAAGGCAAACAGTCAGGGGACATCTTGGCACTCAGCTGGCACATGAGATAAAAGCAGCAGGTGATGCTCCCTCTATCTGCAGTGGAGCCATCTGAATCATGCCAGAGTGTGGTTTGACCTCAGAAGGATTCGGTTCCTGAGCACGATGACACAAGTAAAGAACAGTCTCCACTTACTCAACAATAAAATAAAAATAAAAAAATAAAATGGAAAATAAAACTTATGAGGAGCGGCAGAGGGAGTTGGGGCTGTTTAGCCTGGAGGAGGCTGAGGGGAGACCTGATTACGGCCTACAAATACTTGAGAAGGAATGGTGGGGAGGTAGGGGAAGGGCTCTTTACATTAGTGATGGGTGATAGAACAAGAGGAAATGGACATAAGCTTAGTCAGGGGAGGTTCAGGTTGGATGTTAGAAAGAATTTCTTCTCTGAAAGGGTTGTCAGCCACTGGAATAGGCTGCCCAGGGCGGTGGTTGAGTCCCCATCCCTGGATGTGTTTAAGAAAAGGGTGGATGAACTGCTTAGGGATATGGTTTAATGGGGGATTAGGGACGGTTGGACTGGATGATCTCTAAGGTCTTTTCCAACCTAGAAATTCTGTGAATTCTATGAATTCTATGAACATACCTGGACTTTGGGTCTTCACTTCCTACAACTTATTCCTTATCTAACAAAAAGAAGTTATGATTTTTCTTGGCACAGCTAGCCCAGTCATGGAAGAGTTGAATTATTCCGGTTGCCATGTCTTTAACAAAATGGGTCCCCTAGGTTGTAATCTCTGGAACTTTATTATTGATGATGGCATAGGACACAGAGAGAGTGCAATTAGCTTTCCAGTTCCCTGGCTAAGTTTGAAGGAAGACAGCTAGGGAGGGAAAAAACCTGTTGTGCAACACTGGAACCAAAGCACCACCATATTTAATACAGCAAATGTACACCAAAAAAAACACGAATAAATATTAACAAGGCTGATACCATTATGATAAAAGCATTATACATGATCATCACGGGAGAAAATATCATCTTTTAGACAACCTGACCACATCATTGCTTCCCTGATTTTTGTGCCATCGAAGTGGAAAAGGAAACCTTGTGTTGCTTCCGAGTTATGCTGGAGCATTATGGATCATTGCACTACTTTGGACTTAAGATGTCCTTAAATTGCCTACCCACCTAAGAGCTCCTGAGATGTGGTCAACACTCAAGGTGGCAGGTCCATCACCACCCAAGCTCACTGCTATGCCCAGCACACAGCCTGAGGGAAGAGGAGACTCAGCATCGTCGGGATCTCACACCCCTCGGGGCAAGTGGTAGCAAACACTCTCTTGTCCTGCCTGGATGGAAAAGGGCAGCCCCTCAGCCCATCAGGGCTCCTCTGCATGGAGGCTATTTACTTTGGATTTGAACAAAGAGCAAAGCTTTGGCTGCAGTCCTCCTTGGCCGGACACCAGCTGGCCACAGAAAGCAGTGCTCCCAAAGGCCGGTCTGCGTCAGGTTTCTCATTACGGGTGAGCACCATGAGATTGGGCTACCTCAAGGAGTGATTTAGAGCTGCAGATGACATCTGTGACTCGGCTGCCCCCTCTACCCTCAAGAAAGGTGCCTCCGTCAGCAAACACGAGCCTTTGCAAAAGCCTCTCACAGAGCCTTGCTGGAAACAGTTTGATTAAGGATTGATTTGTCAAAATTGGAAGCTTAAGATGGCCCGTTTTGGTGCTGTCAGACACAAAACGATGAGAACCTGCACGAAGCAAATGTGGTGGGACCCAGCTTGAGCCACAGCCTCACATGAGCTGCCAGTGGCTGCAGTTGACTGCCCAGGCTGTCGAAACGGAGCTACTCACAAAGAAATCCCTTTCCCAGGGCCGTGATTTCCAGCATTTATCCCCGAGCCAGGTTTTTTGTCTCATCAGTCATTCCGAGGAGGAGAGGGCTGAAAACAGGAGACTTTCCAAATGGATAACACGGGCTGAAATCTCTGCTTTGTATCACCCAGGAGAGATGCCCAAAGCACTTCTTTAGTTTGTTGGCAGCTAGATACCCAAAAATGGAGACCCTGAAAACTTTTGACTTTATATAGAAGTTTGTGGGAAACATCAAAGGGGCTTTGCAAAGATGAGAGATGCTGGGAAGGAATATCTCCCTCCGCTGCTCATTCCTGTTGCAGTTTTCAAATCCTGCAGTATGTTTCCTTGGAGAAGAGGAATAGAATAACTGAAACCAAAACCCACAGGAAGAAACAGCCCACGGGGCTGATTTCAATAGACACATTTAAGCAAGGCTGTACACATCTCATAGGGTCTGATCCAGAGCCCAGTAAAGTCGATGGCAAAACTCCCAGGAATTTCAAAGGACTTGGAATCAAAGCATTATATCTTTGACTCTAAAAGTTGGGAATGTCGGAGGGCGTCAGCATTGAACTCAACCCTCCATAGTGCCCTCCTCATTGCCATCTGAGATATCTTTGGTGAAGCATCTCAACTAATTTAATCATCCAGGCTCCCCCAGTAGCTAAAGGAGAGGAGAGAGGCAGAAAGTCACTTTGAGACATCCATTCATCCCAGGAGAACTAGCGTGCAGTGAAGCAAGGTGACTTCAGTACTTCACAGGAACGCTTGGCACCTTGGTTTAGCATCCCTTTCAGGCTGCGGTGTGCCTGCCAAGCTTTATGCTGCAGACTTCCAAGGCACTGACGTGAATCAAGCAGACCAGTCAAAATCAATTTCCATCAATGCTAGGGAAAGGAAATTCCCTAAAGCTCCTTTGAAAATACCCACTTCTCCATTTAGCACATCCATCTATATGGAATTGCGCAGACTGGTGCTACTGTAGTGTCTTCTACAAACGAGCTGGCGTTTTAAGTGAAAAATATGCAAGTGCAGATGAAACCAAATGTACCAACGTTTTTAATCTTGCCATTCAAACTGTTAAAAATCAGTGGGGCAGAAAGAGGTTTTCCATTGACTCGCATGGGTCCTGGCACATATATTATAGCTAGACATGCAGACTTCAATATATTTAGCTAAATATGGTTCTCGTGGGGTGCTAGAAGCAAAAGTTCTTTATGTTCTTTCCTGGAATAATCAAGGCAAGGTCATAAAATGATCTTTTAGGCAAATTCCTCCCTTTGATTTGAGCCACAGGATAGCAATCATGTTTAGACATAGATCAGTGAAGACATCTGGAATGCAGCTTTGTATGTCAACATACATCGTGAGTTGAACAGTATGTACAGAACTCCAGACTGGCACTTGGATCCCAAAAGTGGTGTTTGCATGATGTATCCTGGTAATTAAGTGCAACAACTCCAGCCTGGCCTTTTCCCAGGGCCTCTGAAATACGACACGCTGTGTCTTTCATAAAGCCTCTCTATCAGTAAATTTAACTTAGTCGTAAAACCATAAGGTGAGAAACTCCTAACTACCTACTTGCTCCATAAATCCAGATATTTGTTATTCTACTGCACCCAGGCTAATGCTCATCCAGGAACAATGTCAACGGGGACTTTAGAGCAACAATGTGACCTAAGTGGAATATTGACACCTACGTTTTCATTTCCCATGGCCTCATGGAAAGCTGCAAACTTTCTCCACTTATGGATTGGAGGGAAATACATGTCAGCAAGGTAGGGATTTCACTTCAGAAGAATTAAGGGCTGTTTTGCTTTTCAGTTCAACAAGGCAGGAGTTTCATCCTTTTCCCAAGGATAGTACACGGTTTCAGTGAGGTAAGGAATTTTACTGGTTTAGCAAACTGATAACTTCAACTCTGTGAAACAGGGATCCATTTAACATCCCTGTTGGCTTCCCCAGTCAAATTTCATTCTCATGACACTTTCAACTGACATATAATGTAAGCTCACCTGACATAAATGTTTTCAAAACTGAACGTGCTGCAGTATTAACCCCGGGGTGCTTAGATATCCCAATAAGGATTGGATGCACTTTCAACTGACATACAATGTAAGCTCACCCGACATAAATGTTTTCAAAACTGATCGTGCTGCAGTATTAATCCCTGGGGTGCTTAGATATCCCAATAAGGATTGGATGAGCTTTTTTATACTCTGCTTGTGTCCTTTAAAACCCCATGCCCTGCGAGTTATTGACACAAAACCTCACAGTTTTCAAAAGATGACCCACTGGGCAAATGAGTTTCTGCACATCAGCCGCAGGTCTATTTAGTCTTTCCCATTGTTTCTCCATAACCAGACCAGAGAGATGCATTGCAGAATAGAAAATTAAATTTAAAAAAAATATAGATATATTTTTAAAGCGTTCAAAAACTCATTCATTCATTGATTCATCGAAATTCAACAGTCTAGAAAGGCATACATACCTTCAGTCACAATGGTTGGGGCCTCTAACAAAATGAGTCTTTGTGCCACTCCAACAATGTTGGGCAGTAATAATTCTTGAAGAGCATCAAGGTTACGGATATCCAGGGCAGTAAATGCGAAGCTTCCATCAGTAGCAATCTGCTGCAGCTCTGCACTGTCAGCATTCAGGACCCCAATGCTAAATGAAAATATACTAGCTTGCTTGACCGCTAACAAGCCCTCTCGGATATCATCACTAGACTCTCCACCACTTATCAGCACTAAAATCTGAGGCACCGCTTCCTCTATCCTGCTGCCTCCCGCCTGGGTGAAGAGGTTCTCCACCACAAACTCCAGTGCCGCACCGGTGTTCGCTTCCTCGCCACCGCGGAACCTAAGTGCCTTCACGGCATCCAGAACATCCGCTTTTGTGGAGTAGCTGTTCAAAGCGAACTCGGTTCTGGGTTGATCACTATACTGCACCACCCCAATGTGTATCTGCTGAGCTCCAACTCTGAGGCTTTCAATCAAATTTACAAGGAAATCACGTATGGCTTGAAAATTGACACTTCCGATGTTGTTTGATCCGTCAATAAGGAAAATAAGGTCAGCGGACTCTTGAGCTTTAAAAAAAGAAATGCAAAAGGTGAAAGCATTAAAATGGGTGATTACATGCGGTTGTACAGTGTTCTGACATGTTTCTTGGAAAACCAGTAAGAAACACGAAAATGAGAAAACAAAACACATGTTCACTGAGGAGGTGACGTTTGCCTCTTAGTTCTGCATTCTGATTGAATACGAGCTCTCGGCCCCATCCTGGTGGCACCTGCTGCCCTTCAAGAGGCGGCCCGAGCAGATGCAGCCTGAGCTGGTGGCTGCAGTCACACGGGGGTCAATGTTCTTGGCAGGTGAGGAGAAAACTTGGCGAAATACAATCTTTGGAATTCTAGATCCACTCCATCAATGGCCAGTCCTGTCCAAATATTTAGACAGAGCCAAAAGAAAAAGGTGAGGTTTGGTGATAATTCACCCTGAAGATAGCGGGTGAGGACAGTAATATTCGTAGGAGGTTTTTCCTCATTTGCAGTCTATTTTTTTTCTTTTTTGGGGAGGAAAAATACGCACCATTTACTGGATGCATGGAAAGTTTCAGCCTTTGGTTATTGTTTTTTTCAGGTTTTGGTTATTGTTCTTGCACTGTAACTCTTTTACCAGCTGCCAGCACACACATGATGGTATTTGTCCAGCAAGCTGACCCGCAGAATCGTCAGCCTGTGCCACGCAAAAATCATTTTGTTTTAATTATTTTGCACAAAGATGCATTCATTATCGATAGAGGGGTCAGGTCTGTATTTTTCATATGGACTCTGGATATTCAATCAGGGAATGCAGAATCAGGTTAAAACAGGGTGATGAAATCAGTCATGACACAATTATCCAACTCTACTTGTTGTAACCATATCCAGATGATCGCAAGCATCTGCTGAGAATATACACCCACCAAACACAACTTTTATACGGCATGAACATAGTTGTTGAGGGGGAAGCATTTTTGCTGGTAGACTTACCAAAGCAGACCCAAAATACCCTGGTGTCTGCTTTAATTCCTTTTGCTCAACTGATTTTACCATCAACATCACCAAGAGCTGCATGCATGCAAGAAAGGGGGAAAGAAGACCCCAAAGCATGCTCAGATATTTCCATGCTATTACTCTCCAATCTCGTTAAGAAATCAAGTTTCAGACTAGTTGCAAATGAATGACAAGCAACATTTGGAGATCCCACCCAGCTCTCAACTTTTGAAAGCCAAAAGTGAAACCAGTAGCAAAACTGGCACGCAGTTTAGCAAGGCCAAATCTGCGGTCTTTGCTATTAACCGACAGAGTCAATGATTTTTTTTTTCCTGTTTAGTTGTTTTTATAGTAAATGTTTTCGTACATCACAATACCACCAAGAGATTCAAACAATGCGGCAACTCCAGCAACAAAGAAGGTCTCCAGGGCATCACTGCTTCCCTGGCCAATTAAATGGCTAGTGTTGGCTTGGAGAACATAAGCGTAGTTCAGGATTGCAAAGGGCTCCAGGATTTATTTTTCCATCGAGTTGAAATTTAGGGGTGCTTAGAGCTGTCTTTACTGTGCCATTTTCGTTTGGGATGTACATGTTCTACTTCATCTTATAAATGAAAGGGAAATCTCAGAGCGGTTGTACCCAGCACTGCTTTAGAGACCGTGGACATCTTTTTGAGGAACGAGATTTCAGACACCGATGGGTGTCATCACAGCAGCACGGGTCGCTCCCGCCGGAGAGAAAACACGTATGAAACAGATGCGTTGGATAATTTGTCATCACTGTCAAAAAACCTTGTACTTCAGCACACGTTTATGGAACAAGCTGGTGTTGGAGAACAAATAAAAGCATGCTTGTTACACAACTAAGCAAGAAGGGTCAGATGAGACAGACAGCTAAGATTTAACAAATACATCAGGGCAAACTTGGGGCTGACTTTCACACGTACACTACTCAGCTCTGGGAACTGCCACAGACCAACAGCTTCGCTACTATGTACTGGAAGTACTATGGGACTGGGTTGGTTTTTTTACATTTTTGTTTCAAATTAGGGCTCATCACTAGCATAACATCCATGGAATTTTTATACATTTTTAATGCTACATGGAGTTAGCAGCTGAATAAATGACTCTAGAAACTCTTATGCAAACGGTTAATTGTACCATGCTTTGCACACCGTTGTCATCCAATGCTTAGGTTCTGTAAAATCTTTTCCCACGTTTAATGCTACTCCGTAGATCGCCCATGCACGTCACACAGGGGCAAAAGTACAATAGTAGGATTAGCATAAATTTGTGTTATAAAGGAGGAAGGAAACCCTTGCAAAAAATATCTTTCAGTAGAAACGATCTTGGAAATGCATGATATACATGAAGTAGGAATTCTCCTTTAAAGTTTTTAAAGAAATATCTGTGACTCCAGATGCTTACGTACTATGGGGTTACCTGCTGGCATGCCCCAGAGGAGGACAGTCAGCTGCCAAAGACCAACTCCCCTACTGATTTCAACAGGGAAGCAATGAGGTCCTTCATGGCAAAGACATCAAACAGCTACTGCAGTGCTGTCAGCAGGTTGGGTATGACATTCCTTTTCTGCATAGATTGACATGATTTTCTTAGAATTGGTGAACCTTGTGTCATCTTTCTGGGGCAATTGCTTTTCTTCCCTGTGGCTTTCACGTGATCTGGATATTTGCCCTGTCAAGCACTTTGCACAATAAAAACACACGTGAGCACAGCTTTTTGGTGTTGCTCGGTGTCATGCAGTGATGGAGAGCACCCAGGGGGGCTGGCGTGAGGGTTAATCAGGCAAGACAACACAGGGGGATTAATGTTACACTGCCTCATTGTACTGCCGTTGCCTTACATCACCCCACAAGCTATTGACCTTCAGATGGAGTCTCAGGAATAAAAAGAAAGGTTTGATCTCTGGGACTTCTGTTTTGAAACACAACAAAGCTGCTCAGAAAGCCCTTTCCTCGCCGAAATTTCATAAACAGAGAAAGGACGGAGGAAGACTGTCTTATTTTTTTTCTGGGCACATTAGGCCCCTGACTTGCGGTCAGCACAGATCCATTGAAGCCAACGTGGTTTGCAGAGAGGTTTCGGTTACAGGAAGGGTCCAGTGCTCTGGCAGGTGGAAGCCATCATCTTGTAAAAAGGCATTGAGTGGCATCGCGAAAGGGACTCTCCAGCCACACGCCTTCTCCAAGCGATGAGGAGAGAGGCTAAGGGCCAGCTCAAGGATGAGGTTTCAGCAGAGAAGTTCTCCACCAAAACGCTTTTGCTCTCTTCAGCTAAAAATATGACATTCTGGAGTAGCACATTGCCTATCTCCTCTGCTAGCTGCAAGGAGACATTCCACATAGTGTCCCTGCAGCCAGCAGCGACCTTCTTGGTCTCCAGAGGGTTTTTGGACAGGGCCTCAAAGAGTCACTGTCATGGCTGGTGAGTTCATCCCCCTACTTCCTTGCCTTCAGAGTGGATAGGATGGGGCAATTTAATAACTGCAGAGCTCCCTACGTTCGCATTTCCACGCCACGGGCGCAAAAGGACGTCTGCAGCGGGCTGCTGCCCATCCAAGGGCTCCTGTGCTACCTCCTGGCAGCTCTGGCAGGGATGCCAGCTCGGTCTGCAAACGACGGCACGCTCGGTAGCTACAAACACGGGGCCACGCGCTTCAAACCTTTGTTTTTAAACCTCTGAACGTCCATCTCAGTCTTGCCCCTACGAAGGCTTTAAAAAGCGCAATGCCAGCAGACACCGTGCTGATGGGAGCCACCAGCAGTCAGCCATTACCTGTGATGTCTTTAACCAGTCCTTTGGCCCCAGCCTTTTCTGGAGTCATGGATGAACGGACACTCGCCACTAAGTCTCCAACTATGCCGTGGAGAGCGGTAAAATTCTCTAGGTTGAAAAGGTGCGTGTCGAAGGGTTCGCTCGCTATTTCCTTTAAATCCCCTTCCACTGCATCCTGCACGCCGACCGCAAACATGTTTACACGGGCCGATTTAAGGACAGATGATGGCAGAGCCACATCATCCTGGGATCGTCCGTCCGTTAACACTATAACCACCTGGGGGACGCCTTCACTGGCTCTGCTTCCAGCAGCTTTAGTGAGATGGTTCTCGATTAGGTACTCTAATCCTTTTCCAGTCTTGGTGCCTCCCCCCGTGTAAGACATGTTGGCAATATGGGACAGGACGTCTCGGGTAGAGGGGTAGGTGTTTAACTGGAACTCTGTGTGGGGGTTTCCGCTGAACTGGACCAGGGCAAAGCGAAAATCATTTCCTCCCACATCTAAAGCTTTTACAACATCATACAGAAACTCTCGAACGAGTTGGAAATGTTCCTTCCCAATGCTCCAAGAGGAATCCACTAGAAATATTATATCAGCCACGGCAACGGTTTTGACAGCTTTAAAAAAACAGATGGGGGTTTAGGATTTTCTATCGGTCAGCGCAAGCATGCCTCCTCCTCCTCGCCCAAACGACCAACAGCCTCTTTCGCATGGTGAAAGTGAAGCTCAGCTTCCCCTCATCGCCCGCAGCAAAACGAGAAGCACTGGAGAAAACCCAGGCAGCCATCAGCGCCCTGGCACCGCAGGCATTGGGTGACAGGAGGGGACAGCATGCGACCTACCCTTCCCAGGGAGGGGGAAGCGAGATGCTTCTCCTCACCTGGACCCTCACCATACGGCTTTGACCACCAGCCCTGAGCCAGACAAAGACGCCCGCAGCTTCACGTGTGAATTTAGGCTTGCTCAGCTTCTAGCTGCCCGTGGTCTCCTGCACAAATTTTTGCTGACTCAGGGCTTTGCTGGCTCCACAAGAGTGCTCAAGGAAGGGCTGTTTGGTTTAAGCAGCCTGGGTGCTGGCATGAGTTTGCCGTATTTTTCCTGCTGCTAACACCCCTCCTCATGATGCCAGCTCTGGTCCCAAAGGCGCCAGCGCCTCCTCTTAAAAAAAAAAAAAAACAAACAGGCTTTCTGCAGATCAGTGGCAATGCTCTTCTCACTTCAAAAAGCCCTCCTACACATGCAAGGTGGACCAAACGACTCCGCCCAGGAGAAAAACCCGCTCAAGACCACCCCGGGTGCACATCCTGCACCCTCGTCCCCAGCAGAGTATCCTCAAAGGCACGCCACCGGCCAGCGACATGCTCGGGAAAGCACCGCGCGCGTTGGCTGAGGTCTGGGTCCGAAAGGACCCTCAGCTGAATGGGAGCTGAAGAGCAGAAGGTAAAACCACCGTGTTCCATCCACATGCGTGTTAAAAACCAGATGGCACAACTAGCGGCACGTTTGCGCGGGGGTGAAGTCGGGTGAAGCAGTCCGGTCTTACCTGCTTGCTGCTGGGCATGAACCAAGCAAAAGCCTGAGAGTAGGAGGCAAAACGTTGCCACGAAGGGCAAATGTCGGTGTTTCCTCATTTTGGTCTTTTATCTGAGTTTTCCTTTAATTCTCTTTGTTTAGAAGCACCCAATGTGAGACCTAAGGGAGAAAAACAGGGAGATTGAGAAACAGCAGCAGTGCTGGCCCGGCGTGGATAAGGCACAAGATACAAAAGCCAAACCACATGGTTTTGCAATGCTTTTGTGGCACTTTGGAAGGAAAAAAAATATTTTAATGCTGGATAGAGTCTGCTTCAGAGCAAGACTTTCTTCAGAAGAAGAATCATCAGTCACATAATTGGCATTTAATCACCCCTGTGGACTTAGATGTCTTTCTTCTTGCCTATGTTGTCCCAGGTAATACCTAATATGTAAGAAAATGGCCAGCTGAGGTTTCTACCACCAAACCTCAAAATATATGATGGTCTCTCACCTTTTCTCCTCACCATTTAGCTAAAACATCTTGGCCAACACATTCCCTCTTGCTGTTGCCGTTTCTTATTTTATTTTTTACAAACGCTGTAATAATCATTGACTTGAACATCCCTCTTTGCCTCAGCTCACCTTTTCGGCTGTCCCAAACATACAAATGGAAATTTAATTACTCCAGACCCAAGTGAGCCACATGATCTGGCTGTACAGCAAAAAGCCCTTGGACTGCCCCAAGCTCACAGCCCAGGCAGTGGAATAGCCTGTGCTGGCTGATCATATTTTGGAAAGGCACCAAGAATAACATTTTATGTGTTGGAGCCAAAAATGTAATTTGTGCAAGTTTCTTATCTGTGATCCACCTGGCAAGCCTTCTGAAACAATGTCTTCTTCGGGAAAGCTGTGTTATCTGTTGTCATAGAGATGGCCGATTTATTACTTAATCTTCATTTCCAAGCCTACAGAGCAGAAACCAGCAAGGCTTGCTTAACTGAGAAAATATCCTCCCAAAAGGGAATGCAGTGATTTAATACTTTTCATTCCCCAGAAGGAGCTCAATTACTTCAATGAGCCAAAAGCGATTCAAATACATCAAGCTACTAACCAGGTCATCATAAAAAAAAAAAAAAAAAAAAAAAATTCTTATTACCATCCTGGCCAACTCCATCAATCCAGAGAATTATGACCTAAGAGTCATAACAAGAGCCTAAGAGAGCTAGTGGGAAGACTAGCCCCCTCTTTAAGGAAAGCCATGACAGTTACACAGATGGCCATCATCAGGATAGCCGGAAACAGAACCAAGTGCCGGGAATTGGGGAAAATTTGGAAATAAGTATCCAAACAGCTGATCCTTCTTCCAGTGAAGAGACAATCCTCAGGGTTATCAGAGGAGGAGCTGGTGGAAAGGAGGGGACGGTGTCTGCTTTGTTTCCCAAAATCTGACGTGACCCTGACACTTCCACTGGCTCCCTGAGTGTCAAAGCTGGGCTGGGGTCTGGTCCTCCTTGGGAGAAGGGGTTTCCAGTGTTTGCACTTCCATGTGCTCCAGATGGTATTTATGAATGTCATATAGCATGAGTCAGGCAAAAGTTAGCCTCTATGTTTCCCCCCATGTTTGTATATGGGGATGCCCATGTTTGTATTTGTGGATGCCCCATCCCTGGAGGTGTTCAAGGCCAGGTTGGATGAGGCTTTGGGCAACCTGGTGTAGTGGAGGATTTCCCTGCCCATGGCAGGAGGGTTGGAACTAGATGATCTTTGAGGTCCCTTCCAACCCTAACCATTCTATGATTCTATAGAAGAAGAAGAAGTGGAAATACATTTAATAGGCAGCCAGAGCCAACAGCTAGCATGCAGTATCAACTAAGACATGACAAGTCTTCCCTGTTATTGGCAACTCCTCAATTTATAGAGGCAGCTGCTGCAGCCCAGAGGTAACACCATCATTCATAAATAGCCTAAAAAGTCATCCTTGTTATCTGGCACCCATCCATTCCCCCGGCTATCGGAGTCCAAGCCAAACCTCCCAGTGCCTCCAGTGGGAGCGAACCTGCTCTGCTGGACCGTGTTCCTGATTTACAGCTTGTTCCCAGAAAACCTAGTTTCACCCAAAGGACACTTGAGGGGGGGAAAGCTGGGCTCTGCGTCCCTATGGGTGCAGGATTAGCCATCTGAAAGGTTCATCCCCTGAAAACAAATACAGAAAGGTCTGTAGGTCTAAGAGCTGAGGTTTGCTTGTGACAACCACCCATCTAACTCCACTGGAGCATCTTCCCTCTGGGTAGAAGAGGTTTATGGAAGAGCTGCAAGATTTTTGAGATGGGCTTGTCTTGCAGCATCCATCAGGAGTAAAAATGCTGCCAGCAATCAATGAAAAACGTGAAATAAAACGCATACTATGGAAAAACAGCCCATTAAAATAACGTACACCATAAAAGTGCAAGTATTTCTTTTCCAAAACGCAGGAAGTTACGTCATCGTCCTGTTTATTAGCTGCTGGCACCCTATCCCTCTGCAGTCGCAACAGCTGGGAGCAAGCAGAGCATCAAGATAAACTAGTGAAAATTAATGTCTTGCCAGCTAATAAATGACAGAGCTGAAGCAAACATGTGGGTTTTTTTGATTTTAAAGCTGAGCAGCTGCGGAGAGCCTTATGGGGCTGTTTACAGCCATGAAACACAGCAGAGGGAAAAGCAAATCTCCCCGAAATCTACCCTGCCCACAACACCCGCCGTGACCCCCCCACGGTGGTGGGCAACTGGGCTTTACATTGAATGGGATTTCCAAACTCAGTGGCTGATTTACGCCTACATCTTTAGGGCTCCTTTGGCTTGAAACCCCTTGAAGAACTGCCTTGCCCATGTTCAAACAAAGAGACCAGGGAGAGCCAGGGCTGAGCCCACCCCCGTTAGGTGTCTTTGGGTCATGGTTCAGCCCCAGAGCCTTGCAGCAGAGAAACCACCAGCTATATTTTAGGTACGTCCATCCTGGCAAACCCAACTGGCTGAAAGTCACGAGTCAGCCCTTGGGGCAGCATGAGATTAAACCTGGATATCACAGTGTATTAAAACAACACTCAGTCTCAGCTTTGGTTTATTTGCCCTGGCCATCTGGGACATACAATGCCTTTTTCAAGCAATAATAAGTTGGCTGTTCTTTTTAGTCACCTTCTCTTCTGTTTTAGCCTTTAGAAGGCCTCCAGATCTACTTCCAGCTTTCTCTGTTACCTCCATCATGGCGTTTTTAGTTATATGAAAGCAGAGGGACTTGTTCATCAACAAGAGATGAGTTTTAGCATCACACTTCCCTAAAACCATCCTAAAATCACAGGAGCTGAGATTAGTTATCAGAAGAAAAGAAGCAGCAGAGTCTTGCAGGAAGAAGTGACTGATGTCTCTTAGAGACTGATTGACAACTTATGGAAAAGAGGAGCATTTAAGCACAGGTGTTCCTGATCAGGGTTTCTCTTATATTCCCCCCTCCACAGCACCCTTGTTAGTAAAGGAGAAGGAGTTGGGTGCTTCTGGGAAGGGGTGGATGAGGAGGTGACCTTCCTGTTGAGGGTGGCCCTGGAGAAGAAGCAAGGACAGCAGTTTTTTTGCAGAGGTAATGTGCTTCTTGGCAGGGTTTTGAAACAAAACTTTGTTCAGACCTGGTTTGACTGAGCCAACAGCAAGTCTCTGGCTCAGTGGGAAAAGTGGGTTTAAGACAGTAAATAATGTGACTTTTGTTGTTTGGGTGTTTGGAGGTAGGTCTTGCTTGGCTGGTCTTGGTGAGGTGCAAGAAGTAACTTGCTTAGCTTAATATCTTCTTGCTTTGTGTCCCAAACTGCTCCTGGTCACAGAGTCTGGAGGGTTGCACCAGTTTCCAGGGGGTAGAGGATAAAAAGAGATGTGAACTTACATTAATTCATTGTAATTCTTGATTATGGTAGGTATCTGTTCTACAACTTTATTCTCTTGGATTATTGTTATTTTTCAATATGGCAATTTCATCCTGGATTTTTGCTCAAATGAGACTTTCTTGCAGTCATGAAAGGTGAAAGCTCTGGTGGAGCTTTTGATATAACTACTGCAAGTTGGAGAAAAAAAAAAGTTTTTTCAGCTTTAAGTGCCTTTGGAAAACCCAAGTGTTTTCCTGAACTGCTAAGAACTAGCACCAAAACCTGGGTAGCCAGTCTCTTCATAATTCATGTGCTAAAAGATTAACTCATGTATCCTTCAATAATTTGAAGTTTTTATGTCTGTCTAGAGTTTATATAGTGTGTGGTGACCTCTTAATATCACAGTATGTCTTCTATTTCAACAGAAGATGTACATCTGTTACTAATAAGGCTTTCAAAAGGCAATAATTTCTACCACTAATGCAATGAAGTGATTTCCTTAAATATTTTCCCCAGCAGCTATTTTTTGCTTATTGCATACTTCTCTGCGCATAAAGTTTGACATTTTACATAATTTTTTATTATTTGAGTGAATGTTTCAAATTCACTTTCTAAGCAATCATTCATTTGTGCGCGTTTTCTTCACTGGAGTGTAGTTTAAAAAGAAAATCTGTAAAATTGCAAAGCAGATGAGTAGACTTAAAAAAGCAAAACATAAAAGACAGGAAAAAATTACTACAGCTGTTACATATCACTTTGATTCATTACATGTGCCTCTCAGCTGGGCTGGTTGGCTTTGGGAGGGAGGGGAAGTATCTATGGCTTTGTGACTAGAAGTGGGATGTACTGAGCATGGAGATGGATGGGTGCTACGATGGGTAGAGGGAATAATTAGTGTTCCTGCAAAATACCTCTTAAATCTGAACTCCCAGCTGGGCAGTGCTTCAGGCACTGATG